CCGGCTGCATCAAGCGTAAAAAGCAAGTTAGACCTACTCAAGAAGGAAGCAAGTGAAAGTTTTTACAAGTAATTGTCCATACTTCCAGGCGGCCCCGCCGGAGTTTTTGAAGAAGTGGCCGGCTGCTTTTCAGCCGCCACTGTTTTCCTGGAAGACCCAGGAGAGCTTGCAACAGTCGTCCTCCGGGCCTTGGGGTCCGGCTGTTGCGAGGAAGAAGCTCTTGGAGTGCCCGACTGAAAAAAAAAAAAAAAAAAAAAAAAAAAAGTTAGTATATGCATAAGACAACAACTCCTAAAAGAGGAAGAGTTTCGAGGCCTACCAAGGGTGCCCCCTTGTTGGGGGAGTCGGTACAGGACTGTTTCATGAGAGAGGCCCGCAACATGGTCGCTGCAGTCTTGGATGCTGTTATTTTGCTCATGGCGTCAGCTGCAAAAAATAAACAGCAAAGTTAGTAAAAATCTCAAGTAAACAAGGCGTGAAAAAACAGAGTATTTGTCAGGCCGGCTACCTCTAGAGCACCGACTGCTGAGGCCACAGGCGGCCAAAAAGTACTCGTCATAGAGCCACTTAAAGCTCGGGACGCAGTTCAGGGGTACTTGCTCTCGTACCCCTGAAGTAGAGTTCACCCTAGTCTCTACTTTGAAGAGTCCTTTGTCTAGGATCTCTTTTTTAGCCTTTGGGGGAACAGGCGGCATGCTGCGGCCGCCTGCGAGAAGAGGCGGATCCCTATTCCACTTGTTAAAGCGTTTGTTCAGCTCCGTGTCTGAACCCTCGATGATAAGGAAGGTGTTCCGCCAATCCTTCCATTTGTTCGCCTTACCTCTCGTCATGAGGTAGCCCCTGTGGCTTGTTAATTGATACCAGCCGGTACCGCCCGACTTAGGGGTCCGGCTGAGATAGTTCATGTGGGCGAAAGCCTCGAAGCTTGGCTCCACCCCGTACATTTCGCACCCGGCCACATAGCCAAGTACGTTTACCCAAGAGTTGGGGGCTAACTGCCATAACCCCAAATCATACCCATCTAAAATCCGCTGAACAGCCGGATGTAATGGGAAGCGCAGTCCAGCTTTGATGGCCGCCACATAGCAGCCAAAGCAGCCGTCATCATAGCTGGTACCAGCCGGCCAGACGACAGTGTCTTCTGGATCCGGCACGAACAGTAAAAACTCCGGGCCCATTCTGTGGTTAGCTATAAAGCTCTCCACTTTGTCTTGCATGGTTGCGATCCGGCCCCGGGGTACCGTGCAGTACTAGGGGGTGTTTTCCTCTCTGTGAGAGGCGGACGGCTCCGCCCAATTGTCCCCTTTCTCAACTGCATGAGAAAGCCTCGCCTCTTGTAGGCGACTATTTCTTTCTTCTGAGCCTGGAGAACTGTGGCCAGAAGAGCTGGACTCGGACTCGTCCTCTGACGAGCCCGAAGAGGACGACTTCTCCCTTCTCCCAGAGGGGCCCGCCTCCTCTCCCTTAGAAGGAGCAGGAGGAAAATTAGACTTATCAACGGTAAGATGGGAAGGGACCACCTTGCCCCCTCTCTCAGAACTGTCGGCTTGGCAGCCGCCTCGTTTCAATTCTACATCTGGCGCCTGGTCAGATGTTTCACTAAGGAGCACCCTTTTGGAGGAGCCGTCTGAGTTTGACATCATGGCAGTCTTTTTTGTTCTGGCCATCACGTTCTGCATAGACACAGATACAGTCGGACTTTGTATAAAGGGCAAAGATGGGTCCAGAAAAGGGCAGGCGGCACTCCTAGTCCTAGATTCAGCCGTCCCCGGTGACCGGCTGATCACTAACTTAGGTCGTGTCGTGTGCTTCCGTGGTGCCATTTCAAAAAATAAAAAGAAAATTAAGAGTAAGAGAACTGAGTTACCTGAACGAGTGACGGTTGATGAAGTTCTGGAAGTCCGGTGCAGTCGGCTTGTCAGAACAGGCGGTAGGCAGAAAAGGTCCGAAATGTCAGAGCAAGTTCAGGGGTCCGAATGTTCTCGCAAAGTTCTCAAATGTGAAAATGACCGAAGTCAGCACTTCCTTATATAGGCAAAGTGAGAAGGCGAAGGGTCGCTTCCAAATTCAAAATTTGGGCGGGAAAATCTCTCGGCCGTTTGCAAGGTGACACCTGTAGCAGGCCGTCGCCTATCACCGTGCGACACCTGTCACAGGCGACACGTGACCAGTCACGTGCCACCTGTGAGGGGCAAATGATTAGGGGATTTTTATCCTCCAATCACCGTCTGACAAGTGGACCAACCAGGTTCCGCCACGTGTCCTTCACGTAGGCCAATAGGAGCCTGCCACGTGTCAATTACAGACTCGTCCTCTGCGGACCAATCGAGACACGCCACGTGTCCACCCATGCCAAATGGGAAAACCGGCCACCAAGGCCCAATCCTGTTTAGAGGCCCGGTCAGCCCTAGGTTTACCCTAAACCTAGAGAGTGGCACGCTTCTCAAGACTATAAATACTCCTCTTAATCCTCATTAAGAGGAGAGAGAAAAAGAGAGAGAACTCTAATAGCACACGGATTATACTTTAAACACTCTCACCTAGAGAGACTAAACCACTTTAATTTCCGTATTAATTACTCCTTAATCAGGTACTAACTTGACCGTTGGAGGCGGAGCTCTCAGGAGTCTCCGTTATTTTGCAGGTACAGGCGGCCGGTTCCAGTCTCGGTGTTGTAACTCTCCCGCAGGACATCAGAAAACCCCGAAACACCCCCCATAATTTCACTAACTTTTGACTGGCCACTTTATGACATTACTCGGTTAGTGTTATAATGGTTAACCCGTTACGAATATAGAGCTTACTTAGTTAATAATATAGGGGTTATGATGTCAGTGTTTTAGGGGTTACTTTGTTAAGGTTACTCAAAAAGTATAATAAGGGTTTACCATTTCAATATAATACAGGTTACTCCATTTTTCTACCAGTAACCCTACGGTGTTACAACACACAGAAAACACGCTAGCATAAGCCCCACAATTTTCCTTTTTAAAAAAACTTCCTACACTGTATTTATTTTAATATCTTACTATGTGATATATATCTCGTGCATTTTGCACGAATATACTCTAGTATAGATGATTATACGTCATTTACATTGTAATTAATGTGAATCTTTTTGTTTTTTTTTAAACAAATGTGATTTTTTTTTTAATTGAATCTTGATGACTTATGAATTTTTATCCAAATAATCTTTGGTAATTAAGTTTTGTTCTGATGTAAAAGTGTAAAACAATAACCTTAGTGTTTTGGGTGAAAACAATGGGACCTTGCCGAAAGTCCAAAGATGCGGTTGAAGACTGAACTCGGTCCAAATGACGCTAGGCCGAGGGTTTCCTGCACAGCAAACACACGTAAACTGGCCTCGGGGGTTGTGCCGAGGAAGGCCCTTCCGATGCCGAAGTCAAACAGTGTTTAGAGAGAGAAAGATATGCAAGAGTATTGTTTACTTGAGGCTATATGTGAATGATTGATAAATGATGTAATTGAAGGCTTTTATACCTTAGCATAACAAGGAGAAGAGATGGGCTTGGGATCGTATGGGCTAACCATGATGACTTGGGCCATTGACTTGAGCTTGACTTGGCAGGATTGGAGGCTTGGGCCTTGACCTGGATTGAATCATTTATGGATCGGGCTCCATTAGACATAATTGGACCCAAACAACTTGCCCCCCAGACCCGTTTTGGAAGGATAACGGGTCGGGTTTAAATTTAATAAAAATGGAGGGAAGTAAATGATTTAATTAAATCAAAAAAAATTAAATTTGAAACAGTCATTAACGAAATAACTGTAATTAGGATGATTAGTGGGAAGTTGGGCGGATAATGGGCGGTCAATTAAAGGGGAGTGTGTTTAACGGTTACTTAGCGAGGTATTTAAGAGAAATTAAGCGCACTGACCCTCGAACTTCCTACTTCTGGAAATATAAGGTCGGATTTGCGCTCTCTCTCCTCACTTCTTCACCAATTCACACTCGAATTCCCTCAAGAACACTCAGTTTCGCTTCAAAACTTCCCTCAACACCCCGAAATCAAGGCTCGAAGTCAGTATTCGTTGCTCCGACTAGTTAAATTGGCGAATTCCGCTCCATATAAAGGTAAATTTCTTCGAATTTCCTTCAACTTTCTTGAATTTTTGAAAGAATCCCCTTTTTCGACTTTCCCCTCAAAAATCCGACAATGGTTAGAGGAAGAGGACGCCAACCCCGACGACAAGGTCAGGCTTGGGATCCGAGGGACCGCGCCGACGTTTGGAATGGGGAAAGAGTAAGGGCGGACTCGGAAGAGGGTATTCCGGCCACCCCTCTGAATGCAGCGACACCCCAAGAAGAGGTCGAGGGTGGTGGCGCTGAGCAGAAGGAGGCTCTGCCTGCCGCACCTTGGAACCTGCTCCCTGAGCACGCTGAATGGCATAACGATGAAGCCATTGCGGCCATGATGAGAAACACGCCCTAAACCTGGTGGGTTAGGAATGCTGAAGCCTATCGGTTTGCCGAACAGATAGAGTTGCACTACGGCATCTTTGAGGCAGATGGGTACTGGTGCCGAATGCCTGCGCCTACTGACAGGATTCATCGTCCACCCCCTGGGTATGTGGGGGTGTACAATTGGCAGTTACAGTACGGGCTTCGGTTCCCTCTGTATCCCTTCGTCGGGGATATTTTGATAAAGTACAGGATCTCCCTGTGCCAATTGACACCTGTCAGCATTCGACATGTGATGACATATCTCTAGGTATGCTGGTTCTTTGCTGTTGAGCCGAACCTGCACTGCTTCCGAAGGTTGCATAAGCTTGTGCCGAACACCCAGAGCCAATATGGTCAGCATGGCTCTGGCTGGTGGCGCATTGAGAGCCATCCACAATATCTGACTATGTGGCCGAACGATTCTTCGGATAAGGATTGGAGAGGTTAGTGGATCTGGGTAAGGGCTCCAGCGCATCCAGAGCACCCCCACTTCTTCGGGGCTCCCCGCTATCTCTCCAGACCTGACCAGAATATGCAAGATTTGGATCCTGAAGACCCTGATGCCGCTAGCCACCCCAACTACGAGCAGATTCATTTCTTCGGGAAACAAGACAATCCCGGGGGAACTGGCCGGATGAAGTACATCCCGACGAGATGCCTTCCAGACACCCACTATGCCTTCCAAGAGAAGATGCTGGCGGTTGTCGGCCTCAACCGAAAGTTCAGAGGCAGTAAGTACCTTCGGCTGGGGCTGAGGACTTGCTCTATTTGCTTCCTCTTTTACAACTACTTCAGAATTTTTAAAATTCTGCTTCGTTAAACTAACTCCTTTATTCTGCCTTCTTTCAGAACTGAGCGAGGCCACTTCGGGGATTGACTACAATCGGCTAGGAGTAAACGCTGAAAGGGTCATCTTAGACCGGGCTCCCGCAATCACTGATCCGAAGGACCGTCCGCTGCATCTACATTCGACAGGCCTTCAGATTAAGGCTGCTATAGATTATCTAAAGCAGAAGCCTTGGTGGGCCAAACGAGATCCGTTGAGGCGTTTGCTGCCTGAGGAAGAGCAAGCTGCTCGGACAGCTGAAGAGGTTACTGGGGCAATTGAAGCCTTAGAAGGAGGGTTAGGAACCTCTGGTGCTGCCGAGCAAGGGACTTCTGCAGCCGAGGCTCAGCCGAGGACTTTGGTAAGGCCTTTAGAACTTTGCTTTTGTTGTTTTTTTTTTACTCAAACCCTTCCTGCCCCCCACTTCTGCAGTCTGAGGAAGAGAGCAGAAGGAGAGAGGGGAAAGCTCCTGCACGACCAGAAGATCCTTCGGAATTTGAAGGTATGGATGAGCAACCCCTGAACCGAAGGAAAAGAAAAAGGACGGGCCCAGGTGTAATGGGTCTGGGCGATTTCACGCTGAGGCCGATGGCTGGTGTTGTAATAAGGGAGCCTGCGGCTGGCACGGGCAGGGTTCCCAGAGGTATAAGGGGTCCTCCACCCCCAACTCAACCACCACCACCAATTCCCTCGCCGCTGAAGACCCCTCCACCACCTCCCCATACTGGAGAAATGGAGGTGGATCAGCGAACCCCTAACCCAAAGGAGGGGGTTCCCAAGGAGGTATCAAACAAGGGGAGCGCTGCTGAGCTCCCTGGTGGTGAAGCTGCTGCCAAAGGGGTAGCTGAAGAGGTGGCTGCCACTGAAGATGCAGCCCCCGAAGGCTTCACTGCTGAGATTCGACAAGAGGTTGACGCCCTTACCAGTCAACCTGCTGGAGAAGATGAGGAGGTCCGCGCTGATGGGGACCGAAATCGAGAGGGAGGGGAGACGATTGACCCTAACAAGGCTGAAGAAGCCCCATCAACGTCGTTCCCCTCCTTCAAGACCTTTCAATCTGGGGACATGGGCTTTTCAGCACGCCGAGTCTCCATCCCTGACAGCGCTCGGGCTGAGAGCTGGGGAAAGCATGGAGAGAACGCTAAGGCTTATTTTGGCGGCTGCTCCCAACTGTCCAAGATGGAACATGTCCGAGAGTGGTCTGTCCGAGCAACTGCTGGGATAGCCGAGCCTGGCCCTTCGATCCCAGACCCCGCATGGGCTTTTCATATCTTATTTTAGAGATTTAGCCCATTTCATTTATTTATTATTTTATTTACTTTTTGAACTGAACCTTAACTCTGCAGGTTGTCCACAATCATAATCTGACCTGTGAGATGATTGACACTCTACAAGAAAGAGTGGGCATCGCTGAAGCAGAGGCAAAGCTTGCTAAGCTGAAGCAGGAGAAAGCTGAAGACAGGGCTCAGCAAGTCGTGGATTACTTCAACACTTTCTGCGAGGAAATGGAGAAGGAAGTCCTGTCGATTATGGACGAGGGTGAGGCTCTCATCAAAGCCTTCGGCGCTGTCAATGTCAAAAGCCTCAAGACTAAAATCGACCAGAAAATTGACACTGAGGTCCAATCCCGAGTGCTGGCTCGGGAAGAACTGTTTCGACAAAGGGTCAAGATCTTGGAGGTTGATGCCAATCGCCACCGCCAGGCCTGCGAAGACAGAGAGAACCAACTAGTTGAGGCCGGAGTCCAACTCGAGGCTTAGAGGCAGAGGATCACCAGCTTGGAGACTCAGCTGAACGATAGGGAAGCTGAGTTATCCCAAGCTCGGGACAAGGCCAAGCAAACGGAGCAGCAGCTCTCTGATGCCGAGGGCAAGTTGAAGGAGCAGCAGGAGTCTTCCCAGAAGACCTTGGAGGAGGTTCAAAAGAAGTTGGCTGATGCTGAGGCTCAGCTAGCCGTTAAAATTTACTCCAGGGAGGAATACTCAACTGCCTACAGGAACGAGTATAGGGTGGCTCGTAGATTGGCTCTCCATGCAGCTCCTGATTTGGACTGGTATCAATGTGAGATTTGGGCTGAAGACCCCGAAGATCCTCATATGGAATATGCCAGCCAGGCTGAGGTTGATCTAGAAAATCGCCTCCAAGCTGAGGATTCTGAGGTTGAGGAAGCTTAGAAAAGAGAAGGTGAAGCCCAGACTCAAGTTCAGCCCACTTCTTCAGCAGCTGGAGCTGATGCCATCTTGGACCCCAACGTTGCTGGAAGGCCTGACCCCTCAGCTGAAGCCTAAGGACTCTGGTAGTCGTCTTCAAAATCTTGCGGAACAACTTGCTCTTAAAATGACAAATGCCGCTTCTGAATGTTTTTTGCCTATGTTTTTGCTTCAGCTTGCCTTAGTGTACAAAACTTTTTATTTTTGCCTTTATACGCATTTCGGTAGCTGTTATTTTCCGCTTGTGGGCGGCTGCCGATATTTTATTTCTATGTTTTCAGACAGTTAACTTTGTAGCTCGTAATCCGAGCATAACTTTTTATCATGCATCTGATGTGTTTCTTCTATTGATTTGCTTTGAACTTGCGTGTTTGCTTTTCTGAATTTTAAAATTTTTCGCAAAATTTGCTAAGTAAAAAGCTTCGGCTTGAAGATTTCAACTGAAGGTAATCTGCACTTGTAGTGCCTCTTCCTCCCCCCCCCCCCCCCAGAAATTTGAAGACTTGGTCTTCGGATTTCTGAGATGGTTTCTTGTCTCTTTTGCTTTCGGATGAAGCTAAGTAAATTTCTAACAGTTATGCTATTATTCTTGGTTTTATGTCTATCTGAAAGAATGGATACCTGAAACATGGGTCAACTGAAGGCAATGTTTCAGATAATGGCCCTCTGAAAGAATGCTTTGTGGGCTAAGGTCCTTCCCCCAATGTGGTTCCCACGGATGCCGAGGTGAATTTCCCGAAGGATGTAATCTGCATCTGTTGGGCCCACGCACTTCATCAATGGGGCAAAGAAGGATTTTTTCAGAAGCTCTCCCTTGAAGACAGTGAACCTTGAGCTGGTTCGCTTCAGTTTGGAGGCCAAAATTTTGTCTTCGAGAATTTCTCCTCGAAGCATGAAAGCTAGGATGGGGTCCATCCAGCTAGGTTCTTGGTCAACGCGACACACTTCTGGTGCTTCGTCAACACTTCTTTCTCGGTGCACCTCCACATAAACAGATCGGTTCAGCTCGGTCAGAGTTGAAATAGCAAGTTTGGAGAGTGCATCGACTTGAGCATTCTGACCCCTTGGGATCAGCTGAACTCAACTTTGCAATAACTGATTTAATCTTGGCGAGATAGGCTATCATTGAGGGCTCTTTGGCCTCGTAGCTACCACCGATTTGATATGCAACTAGCTGATAGTCCGTCTTCAGACAGACATGCTCGGCTTCCAAAGAGATGCACAGTTCTAGGCAAGCGATTGCTGCCTCATATTCGGCTTCGTTGTTCGAAACTTTGAAAGCAAATTTCAGTGCATACTCGAAGGACTTGCCTTCGGGAGAGGTTATCACTACCCCTGCCCCCGAACCATTTACGGTGGAGGATCCATCCGTAAAAACGGTCCAAATTTTCTTTTCATCATCTACCGTCTCCTGGTACGAGCATTCGGCCAGGAAGTCCACTAGAGCTTGAGCCTTGATGGATGCTCTCGGCTGGTAGCTGATGCTGAACTTAGTGAGCTCGAAAGCCCACTTGGCCAACCTACCAGATTTTTCAACTTTGCCGAGGACTTTTTCCAGCGGCTGATCAGTTAAGACCACTATTTGATGGCAATCAAAGTAGGGCCTCAGCTTCCGAGCGGCTACCACTACTGCATAAGAAACTTTTTCGAGTAGGGCGTAGCGGGTCTCGGCATCCGTCAGAGTGTGGCTGACGAAGTAGATCGGTTGCTGAATTTTATTTTCTTCCCTCAGCAACACTGCACTGATGGTGGCTGGGCTAACAGCCACGTATAAGTACAGAGATTCTCCCTCTACTGGGCTAGCCAGTGTTGGGAGTTGAGCTAGATGCTCCCGAAGCTGCTTGAAGGCTTCTCTTTGCTCATCTTCCCAAACGAGCTCTTTTGTTTTTGGGAGTTTCAGGGCTTTGAAGAAGGGTTACCCCTTATCCGAGGCTCTAAAGATGAACCTTGAGAGGGCTGCCATTCTTTCGGTGAGCCGCTGAACGTCCCTCTTTGTTTTCGGCTCGGGAAGATCGAGCGTTGCTTGCACCTTAGCGGGATTGGCATCAATCCCTCTTTTGCTAACCATGAACCCAAGGAATTTTCCTGACTTCACGCCGAAGACACACTTCTTCGGATTGAGCTTCATTTGATGCTTTCTTAAGGTGGCGAAGGTTTCGGCCAGGTCCTTAACATGGTCTTCATCTTTTTTTCTTTTGACGATAGAATCGTCAACATATACTTCCATGTTTCGGCCTTTTTGATTGGCGAAAACCTGGTCCACCAGCCTTTGATAAGTTGCCCCCGCATTTTTCAATCCGAAGGGCATAATTTTGTAATTGTACACCCCAGCGTTCGTGACGAATGTCGTCTTTGCTCGGTTGTCGGAGTGCATGAAGATCTGATGGTACCCCGAGAACGCGTCCATGAAACTAAGCAAGGCATGGCCACTTTTCGAGTCGACTAGCTGATCGATCCTCGAAAAGTGATAGAAATCCTTCGGACAAGCCTTATTTAGGTCCGTGAAGTTAACGCACATTCTCCAGGTGCCATTTGCCTTCTGAACCATCACTACATTGGCCAGCCATTCTGGATACTGACAGGGTTAGATGAAGCCTACATCCAGCAACTTTTTGACTTCGCCTGCGATGTCTCGGTCCTTATTTGCGGAGTAATTCCGCTTCTTTTGCTTAACTGGCCGACACGTTGGGTCGACTTTAAGCTTGTGAGAGATGAGGTTTGGACTTATCCCGGGCATGTCAGCTGCCGAGAAAGCAAACATATCTCGGTAGTCCCGAAGGAGTTGGATGAGCTCAACGCGGACTTTCGGATCAAGGTCTAGCCCGATTGTAACACATTTTTCAGCGTCCCCTTCGGTTAACTCAACCGTTTCAGTCTGCTGGTCCAGCTCCATCGTTGTGGGGCCGGAATCTTCACTATCTGGCCTGCTGTCTATATCGGCAAGCGTCCCAAACTTTTTCTTTTTTGGCTGGCTCTCTGAGTCTTTCGGCTCAGATGAAGAGCTAGCCCTTTCTTTCTCTGGCCCTTTTTCTTTGGCCACAGCACCTTGGGCCGAAGCACTTAGGCCTTTCGACTTCTTCGAACTTGACTCTTTTTCTTTCTCCTCATCCTCATCGTCATCTTCTGAACGACTGGCGGTTGGCTTGAGGTAGTTGCCCCTTCGGGCCTCCTTTTGGTTGCCTTCAATTCTTTCGGGGTAGGCAACATCCGAAACATAGATCATGAGCTGGTGGTATGTTGAGACCACCCCTTGAATCTCGTGAATTATAGGTCTCCCCATGATCACGATGTACACTGAAGGAGCGTCGATGACCAAAAATTCAGTCATGACATTCCTAGCTACTTCGTCGCAGCCGGTGGTGACAGGAAGGGTCACCTTCCCATCTGGATAAGTTGAAGCTCCGTTAAATCCGGATACCGGGTAGGGTACCGGCGTGAGATGCTTGGGCTTTAGCTTAATTTGATTGTAGGCCTTTCGGAACAAAATATTTGCTCCGCTACCACCATCAACAAGAACCTTGCTGACGTCGTGGTTGGCCACCGTTGCGATAATCACCAACGGGTCCTCGTGAGGGTACGTCACCCCCTGACAATCAGCGGATGTGAACGTCATGTTCGGCACCGGTGACTGGGGCGGCTGAATACTGGCATTGTTCACCTGATGGGTCAGATCCCTAAGGTGATGCTTGTGCTCCCTCCAAGAGCATACTCCTCCCGAAAATAACATGGATTGGGGGGAATTTTCCCTCCGCAGTTTTGCTGTTCTTTCGGGGGAAGTCGATTTCTTGCCGAGAGTCCTTTTCGGATTTCTCAGCCTCTTTTTTCTCGCGGTGATCCGCGATATATTTTTTCAAGTACCCCTTCCCGACCATATCCTCGATTTGGTCCTTCAACTAGATACATTCCTCAGTGTTGTGTCCTGGTGACTCGTGGAACTCACACCACTGTTTTTTATTTTTTCGCTGATACCACTCGGGTAGTGGTCTCGGCTTTCGGTAACTCTGTTCTTCCTTTGTCACGCTGTAGATTTTAGCGCGCGGAAGGGCGAGCGGAGTGTAGGATTCATATGTGCCCGAGAAAGGAGCAGACTTCTCCTTCTTCAGCTCGTTGGCTGAAGATTGTTCTGAGGCTTTTGCCTTTCCTTTCGCCTTATGGCCTTGGCCTTCAGACGATTGTTGTTTTTGTTTCCCACTCCCAGTTTGAGGTTGGGTTTTTTCTTTGTTCCACTCTTCGGCTCGGATGAACTTATCCGAAGCGTTCAGAGCTTCCTCCAAGGTTTGCGGGGGATGCATGACCATGAAGTCAAGGAACTTTCCTGACTGAAGGCCATTTTGCATGGCAAAGACGGCCAGCCCTTGATCCAGCTGGGAAACGCTGGATGACTCATTGCTGAAACGAGTCAGATAATCCCGGAGGCTTTCGACCTCCCCTTGCTGCAGGCCCATGAGCTCAGCAGTAGTCTTCTCTCGGTGATTCGCGGTGGAAAACTTGCTCCTAAAATTGGCGGACAGGTCGTCCCACCCTGTTATGGATCCATCCTTTACCCCCTTGGAGATCCACACTTACGCAGCCGCTTTGAGAGTAGTAGGGAAATATTTGCACCAGGTCGCTTCGGACCTGGGGCACATGTGCATATGCCCCTCGTAGGAGGCAATATGGTCCTTCGGATCCTTAGTCCCATCGTAAGTAATGTGCGACGGGATTTTAACCGTCGGCACATGTTCTTCCAGAATCCATTGCTCAAATGGAGAATTGGTAGGAAGCATCACGACCTTACCCTTGTTCCTGGCCGAAGGGACCGCGCTCCGCCCTCTCAGAGAGGTAGGAGTGGTTTTCGTCCCCGGCTGGGAAGGTTGGGCCTCGGCTACAGGGAAGGAGAGGCGGCTATGCACACTCCGTTCCCTATCGCCTAGTCGGTCGAGAGCGCTTCGGCGGACAGTCTCTGGCCGAGAGGCAGAGCTGCTGCTTTTGTGAGTTTTGCTTTGGGTTAGCTGGGTAGAGGGTTCTTTGAAGAAATGAGATTTCCTTTTCCTTTCTCTTTCGGTTCTCCAAGTATCCTCTTCCCACTCTGCCAACTCCCTAAAGGAGGGAGGTCTCTCCCCCTCCTGGCCGAGCCTTCTCCGCTGGTGCCTGGTTTGCAGAGGAGTTTGGTCGCATGGAGGTGGCATGTTTTGGGCCCTCATGGCGTCCATGAGTACCGCCAAAGCCCTCGCTACCTCTTCCGAATTGGGCCCCGTTAAAGGCGTCCTCGGCTGGGTGTGAGAGCGAGAGTGGGTGCTCAAAGGTTTACTCCGAGCGATTGATTGAGTCTTGTGGTTGGACTGATTTTCAGCGTTGGGCCGAGGAGGACTTGGCCTGTGCTGAGATTGGATTATGGGAGAAAGGGACTCCTCCCGACACGCCCCTCCCGAACTGGCACCCTTAGAAGAGTTCCGTTCCAGTGAAGGCGATGGTGTTGGAGTAGGAGGACCCAAGGGCCCTCTTACCCTGACCCAAGGGCCCTCTTACCCTGAGCCATTCGGCGCTTCCGTGAGGGGGAAGCACCGCTATTTTTGTTCTTGCGATTCTTAGCCATTGATACTAAGATTTTGGTAGAACGATTTAGATTGGCTTAAAGATTTTTTGAAAGTCTTCCCCACAGACGACGCCAAATTGTTTCGGGTGAAAGAAATGGGACCTTGCCGAAGGTCCGAATATGCGGTTAAAGACTGAACTCGGTCCAAATGACGCTGGGCCGAGGGTTTCCTGCACAGCAAACACACGTAAACTGGCCTCGGGGGTTGTGCCGAGGAAGGCCCTTCCGATGCCGAAGTCAAACAGTGTTTAGAGAGAGAAAGCTATGCAAGAGTATTGTTTACTTGAGGCTATATGTGAATGAATGATAAATGATGTAATTGAAAGCTTTTATACCTTAGCATAACAAGGAGAAGAGATGGGCTTGGGATCGTATAGGCTGACCATGATGACTTGGGCCATTGACTTGAGCTTGACTTGGCAGGATTGGAGGCTTGGGCCTTGACCTTGACTTGGATTTAATCATTTATGGATCGGGCCCCATTAGACATAATTGGACCCAAACACTTAGTTTTGTACCCGATTTGAACATCAATATTTTACCTCTCCTTCCAAATCCAACAAGTCCTTTGAAGTGACGGTATTTGTCAGAAATCGATTTTGGATAGTAAACATCTTTTGAATTAATGTTGTCACACGAACCCCGGTTTGAAAACTCTCTGCTCATTTCCATGTTTTTTTTTTTTGGAAATTCACATTGGTACACTCGTGGTTTTAACTTTTCCCATTGATACACTCCTAAATTTTTGTCTTCCCATCGGCACACCCATGGTTTGGTCTTTTTCCCAACCGTGACTAACACCGTTAAAAAGTATTTCATTAAGTTAAAATAATTAAGGAAAATACTATAATACCCCTTGTAAACATCTAATGTCTCGATTTTCGTGTCGAAAATTGTTCGGTTAAAGTTTTGGAGTCTTGTTAATCCGTAAGGATCCAAATTAACCTCGAAATTAGCAAAAAAATACGCAAATGTCTAATATGTGTGTCAAAAAATGTCTTGATTTGCGTGCCATTACTTTTTTGTGATAATAATTTATCGGTTAAACTTTTAGGGGTCATTTTGACCCTTTATGAGTCTAAATCGAACTCGAAATTGTTAAAAAATTAACGAAAATATCTCATTTTGCACGTCATGATATTTCTTATTTTTTTGTTATCATACGCAAAACGAGACATTTTCGTTAATGTTTTGACAATTTCGAGTTCGATTTAGACCCTAAAAGGGTCAAAATGACTCCTTAAACCTTAACCGAACAACTACTATCATAAAAAAATAATGACACACAAACCGAGACATTTTTTTACGCGCACATGAGACATTTGCGTTATTTTTTTTTTGCTAATTTCGAGGTTAATTTGGATCCTTAAGGACTAACATGACTTCCAAAACTTTGATCGAATAATTTTCGACACGCAAATCGAAACATTAAATGTTTAAAAGGGGTATTATAATCTTTTCCTTACTTATTTTAAATTAGTGAAATACTTTTGAACGGTGTTAGTCACGGTTGGGAAAAAGGCCAAACCACGGGTGTACCGTTGGGAAGACAAAAAATTTAAGAGTGTATAATGGAAAAAGTCAAAACCACGGATGTACCAATGAAAATTTCTTTTTTTTTTTCTTTTGCAATAAACTCCCTCTACTATTAACACAAAAAATCACTTTCTGGATGTTAATGTTTTATTGAGCACAAGGGATTTTTTTTTTAAAAACAAAAAAACCGAGCACAAGGGATATTGTGACAGCATTCCGCCGTCACAGATTTGGCAAACTATATCTAAATATCTAATGGAAGTTAACCAGCGAATGGAAGTTATATCTAATGTACTAATGATCAAACAACCAGAAAATTAGTCACGTGTACTAAATCACAACAAGTCTTGTTAGTTGTTACTCTTGTAATTAAGCAAGTCATGTCAGATTATAATCAGTAATTCAGTATAGTTTCAACTTCATAATTGTTTCCCCACAAATAGTTAAGAAAAATAATACACATACTGCAAAAGCTATTGCAATTTTTGTAATACAACCTATAGACACTACTAAGTTATGTGAGATCTTCCTGTATTAACCTGCAAATTCTTCCCAGCATATCTAACAAAATTCAGCACAAACCAAAGGGCTGATGTCTCAACTGCAGTGTATTTGTTGAGTCCTACAAACACCATGACCTCACTTGTGAAAACATTTGTGTCTTCTTCGATCTGCCAGTAAAAGAAATGAAAGAACAATTAATAGGTTAAGAGATCCATTTGAGTATAAAATTCCAAACTAAAATGGCATAGCTCATGCACAATAACGCGCATATGTTATTTCTACCATTTTAACCAGGTCCCCCTACTATAATATAGAAAGACAAGGAGTAGAATTATGCTTTTGACCAAAAAAAAATATCTTATCAAATTCATTCAGCTGGACAGCAGATATAGCCTACTAAGATACCAGAATATACATCCATAACCAGAACAGAAGTATCCACCCTTCTCTCAGTTTACTTCTGCTGTTCTGCAAGTACTTCTACTAGTAAATTTAATCCTAGCACATAAGCTAGCTCATTGTGCGTATTTGGTACTGCTTGCTCCTATATCTCCTTTACAATTGAGCACTATAAGTTTTATGAAGGCGACAACAAAAAATAATAAACGAGAAAATCTGCAATCTTTAAGCTTCAGCACTCCTGTTCAAGGATGCCCCAGTTTCAGAAATAAGTTCTCCCCAGAAAGATTATAGAAATTACTTCATCCATCCCCTTTTACAGAAAGTGGGTTTAAAAACTGTTTTACAGAAAGTGGAAAAACGGACAGATAAATGAGAGTGGGTGGGTGTGGGCCAAATTTTAAAGAAGTAAAGGAAACAATATTACCACATAAGCAAGTTTAGTATTTAGTAAATGAAAGGACATAGAGCACTTGCCTGAATGTGAACCTAAGACTAGGAGTAGATTTCTCCCTTTTCATTCATGAAGGATTGGCCTAGTTGAATACATAGTGCAAGAATACCTCTCATACAGTAAGAAATAGGTCTCTTACTACATATGTAATTCCTTTCAACTTTTGAATTATTCATCATAAACGGTAAACACTCACAAGCCCAAACATAACTTTACTATTGAGCTTGTGTATTTGTCTTAGAGACTTGCAAACTGGAAAGCAAACCAACATGGGAAAAAAAGAAATTGTCCTAAAACTTGAGAGTAAGAGAGAGAGAAAGAGGATGCAAAGTTCATCAGACACTCTAGCTCAGATTCTCAAATCCTTCTTCTATTCCTTGATCGGGTCCTTCCAAAGTTCCAACCCCCTCGAAGATTCAGTCAATCATGCTGGACTCAATCCTATCAAATTTCTTCACCCATTTCCTTTTAGGTGTCCCCATGTTGGAAACTTGGAAATGTTTCTGTTTACAAACTTAAGCAACCAAAAAAAAAAAAAAACCTGTTTCATAGACTTTCTTATCCAATTAACCTAAACATGACATTTTTGGGTGAAAAGGGAGGGGGTTACTGAGGTCATTAGGCACAACAATCCAACAAAACATTTTCTCCTCACTCCAGGCCCTAAAAAAAACATTCTTCCTCACTGGGCGTCAAAACTGTATATATAACCCATGGGAAATGGAGCAGCTCCCACTGTGCTCTTCATTGGACCTCATCATCAATATCGATAATAACAACCAAGATCTACATCCTTTCTCAAAATAGTCAAATGACACAATAAGCATGCATAAAAGTAGTAGTATCAAGACTCTCAACTATATACAGAAACAGCTCATCATTTGTATACAGCATAATATATTATTCATGGAGTCATGGGAGATTTTATCTTCCACAAAGTCCTCATGAGAAGATTTTCCTTTTTTTATAAGATCTATGAAAGAATTAATCATCATTTATGAACTCAAATGTGAGATGAAAATCTTATAACTGATACATGAAGCATCAACTTATGTAGGATAAGTGGATAACAGGTTTAGGCTTTTGTTCCCTTGTAATAACCTATCAGAGGCCTATTTGTACACAAGGTCATAAAGAAGAACTATTAACTAATTTGAGCTTCCCAAAGTCAATAATTACCATTTATAAATACATTTAATTAGTATCCTGATGAAAGTGCATCCATCAATGCTGCATAAACCACTGTTTAGGATCCCAAGTTCTCAAAGCACTATGCATTAGGTGTCTATGCTTCAAACAAAAAGACATTAAATTTCCAATCACACATACCTATTGAGCAGTATCCTCTGTGAACCTAGCATCAAAAGGAGCAGAAGAGTTGGGGTGGGACGACCCACCACTGCTTCCAGAACCCTGCTGCAATTCAATCACAAGCCATCTCACTGCTTTACTCATTTGTTCTAACCTTACAGCACTTATGGGTGGAAGACCAGCAATAGCCTGGCCAGGCTTCCCAGCCACTGAGCCAGTGGCCTCATCCACCAAACACTCTGATCCTATTCTCAGCTTAACAGACTCTACAAACTCCTCAGCTTGATCACAAGCCACCCTAAATAGTTCCCACCGCTGTTTAAAGCTCTCCAGGGCAGTATCTGTAATTGGTGTTTTGTAACTTTCAGATGCTTCTTGTGCCTCTAAGACCCCAGCAGCAGCAGAAAGAAATTCTTGATATGCAGAATTTAGGGCATCTACAATATTGTCCATTGGCACAATCTTGACCTGCACACATGCACAATACCCCAATGTTATTTAATTCACTAGTATGAGATTGGGTACAGGTATGCAATTCAATAAAATCAGACAAAAAATGTACCACTTTCATGTATAATTTGATTGTTTTGGTTCAGCAGAGATTAGTGAATTATGTAAGGTTCAAGGGGGAATTAGCTAATAAAGTGACTATGCTCAGAGTTAATGAGCTTTATAAATGGTGACAAAGCACATCTAACATAACCCCTCCACATGTGATTTCCCTTCATTTCCTCTCTATCTAACTTTCTTTACTCTTTCCACTATTTCTTCTTTCATATCAGAGGATAGAACAAACAACACCTAAATTTCATGACATGGCAACTTCTACCGGCATAGAATTTCAAAGGCAAAGACATGGTAATTCCATAGTTGAGTATATATAACATAAGTCTCAAATGCTCGCAAAAGTCCAGCCTTAACTCAAATTTTTACCAAAGTCCAGCCTTAAATAGCCACTGCCTTTTAGAATAAGCTACTAGTTGTAAACAGCTCATGAGGAAACATCAGAGTTCTTACACAATCTGCAAACCAGAAAACTGAGAAAAGCTCATTTCTCACTTTAATCTTGAACCTCCTCAGCAATCTTCTCCACCAACTACTCTTATAAAGCCAAGATATTTTCCAGACTGTTAAGAGTAATGGGATGGGTCTGGGCCTTACAAAAGCTGAAATTAGCAACATACCCATATTCCAGAAATAGATATCTAGCCAGGTTTCTCCCAAGAAAATAAAAACGTATCAATATTGGGAAGCCAATTGGCAAATTAATAGGCCTTAAATTAGCAAGAAAACACTCCATTTCTCTTCTATTTTTTTCAACAGTACAGCAGTGATGAGTTAAAATACGATCCATAAAAGATACTTCATTGCTCTTGACGGGCAGCATGGGCGCAAATCATGCAGCGATCAAAATCAGTTTGGTTAGCTTTCAAGTTAGCTCATAAAAGCAACTATGATCCTAGTCATTCTTAGCCTCCCCACATGTCCTGATATAGTGTCACATTGCTAATCTATATTCTATATTACATTACCACACTACGAACGTGACAACTACTTTCGGATGAACGGAGTATATTGCATATACGGTGACCGCTGGAGCCAACAAAATACTCCATTGCTCCACATTGTCACCTAAAAACCACCTTTCTTACAGAAAAAACCAACTTGGCATCAAAATATTCACCAGTCACTTTTCCAGTACAAATTATCATAAATCATAAACAATTTCATGGAAAAATCTTGTTATAAGCTCCCTGGAAAATATTATTTACCAATTTTTAATCCCTAAAAATTCCCTTTTTCATAGTAATGTCTTAATATTAAAGGGTTCTGCAACAAAATAGTAACCAAATTTTATTCAATCATCAAATGTAATTCTTCCAGATTAAGAAAATGAATAGAAACATTATAGCAACGAAATTTCTAGTCAGCTCTTATTAAAATTAATAGTTCAATAACCCACTTCAGAAGAACCCTAAATTGATTTAACTGACAATAAAATTAACGATTAAAAGTAGATTGTGAAATTGATATTTAAAGGGTAGAAACGACAAAAGAGCTTACCTCGGAATACGCTTCAATGGAGGAGAGAAAGCTCAGAAGACTCTTCAACGGAGGAAAGAGAGGGAACTAGGGAAGGGTGTAGCGATCCAGTGCAAATGAACATGAAAAATGCTTTGGTTGATAAAAATTTTGATTAGACTATTTTACCCTCTTTAAGTTACCATTTTTTTTTTCTTTTTTAATGTTGAAGAAGAAAAAAATTACCCAAAAGTTTTATGTGTAGCTAGTCAATTCACATTGTATAACTATTACCATTAGGGTTGCTCATCAGTTCAAGACCCAGACCAAACCGATGATCGAAAATGAGAATTTTATGAACTGAAGACTAGACCGATTAAGCTAGGACCAAACTCGGACCAGATCGAAAGAATCGGTCCAAAACTCGGACTGGACCGCTTTGGACCGATTTAATAATTTTTTAAAATAAAAGAATTCTTTTTTTTTAATATTTTTATGGAAAACTAGAAAAAAGTACAAGAAAATATACACTTTAACGTCTTTTTTTCTATATTTAGTACAAAAAAGCTCATAAATTTAAAACTTTATGAGCTTATTAAAAATAATAATCTTAATCATTATTTAAGGTTTCATGCATATTTTAAAGGTAAATTTGATAATTATCACCATGTATTGTTGTCAAATTTGAAATTACCACCTCAAGTATTTTTTTTTTTTTTGTTTAATCTTACCGCCTAGTTTTTCCCAAAACTTTTAAAATTGTAACAGTTTTGTGTAGAACGGACTCACGTGAGTTCGGTCATACAAACAGAAAAAAAAAATGTGGAAAAAACAAATCTTAATGGTCAGAAATTAGATAATAATAGTCAGATATTAGATTATAATGATCAGAAAATAGATTGTAATGGTCAGATATTAAATTATAAATATCAGATACTATATTATAAATTTATAATTGTCAGAAAATATGTTATATACTTCCTCCGTTACACATTATGTGCAACATTTTCCAAAAACGGAAGTTACACATTATGTGCAACAAACTGAAACTTTCCTATTTTAGTAAAAAAAATTGAATAAAATTACCAACATACCCTTACTAAAATTCAATTAACACATTAAAACATATATTATTAGGTTATTGATAATTCTAATTAATCTAATAATTTACACCTAATTCAACCCCAAACTAATCAGATTCATTCTTCCAAGTTCCAACCCCAATCAACCCTTGTACTTTCATTTCTCACCATCTCCTTCAACCATCTCCTTCATTCAACCATCACCTTCAATGGCAAACACCGTACCACCACCAAACCACCACCACCACTACCACCGTACCGATCTCTGATCCACTCTATCTTCATCTACCCATAAATTCCCCCTCTCTTTGTTCATTTCCCCTCAGGCCCTCAAATTCAACAACCAGCTTCGTCGGAAGTCGCTGCCATTGTCATGCTTGTCGCCATCACCGCTTTCTCTCTCTTCCTTCTCCTTTTGTTTCATTTTTGTCACTAAAAATCAAATGTGAAGGTTTTATGGTCAAATTTAACCATAAAAGTTCTAGATCTAGAATTTTAGTGGTTAAATTTGACCAAATAAATCTTAAATTGATGATAGAGTCGGATTTCATGGTGTTCAATTGATGTGTGAAGGTAATGGTTTTTCATTTGTATTATTAGGGTTGTTTTTTTAGGGTCAGGATTCATGGTGTTCGATTTTTCCAGTTGGAGGTGGTGGTTTTTGGGGTGGGTACGACTAATTAGGGAGGTAAGGTGGGTATTTCGAGATGGTGGTTGAGGTTTTTTGGAAGGGTTTATTTGGATATGCGTGGTTTTTTGGTGGTTTACGAGGTGGGCGAAAGTCGAGATCTTGGTGGTGGTGTGGTGGGTCTGTGGCTAAGGTGGTTTTCTTCGGTGGAGTGGGCTCTGAGCGGCCTGGTGTGCTGGGGGTGCGTGGGTGGATCGATGGGACGATTTGGCAGTGGTGCTATGGGCGATCTAGTGGTCTGGTGGGTGGTGGTGTGGCGGGTTAGTGGCCTGGTGGGTGGTGGTGTGGCGGGCAAGTGGCCTGGTGGATGGTGGTGTGGGTTGAATTAATTAATCATCCACTTTACTCTAATCACATGTCCCTACTTTGTTAATTAGGCTTTTCTATTTTTTCTTGGGAAATGTGCACACCTCTTTGTTTTACATAATGTGTAACAGAGGAAGTATATCAGAAAATTGGTTAAATATATCAGAAATTAGAGTATAATGGTCAAGTATTAAAACCCCTCCTTCCTTCTTCTCTTTCTTTCTCCACAACAATTACTATATCTCTCATCTTTCTCTGCAACTCACATTATTAGTTGCTGAACTCATGTAATTTGAATCGATTAATATTTTGTTGATTAGAGAAAGCGAAGAAGGAAGTGAAGAAAAGCAAGTGGTTGACGCTGTTAATGGCAGAGTTCAAGAATCATTTCTCTATCAAAAGCAAATCGAGCTCGAAATTTAAGCTTTTACTCAATGGTTTTACTCATCAATGGCAAATTTCAATGGCGGAGTTCGAAATTCGAGTTGTTAATGGCGGAGTTCAATGTTTTACTCATCAATGGTTTTACTCGAAATTCGAGCTTTTACTACATTAACAGAAGGATAATGGCGAAGTTCAATGTTTTACTCATCAATGGCTTGCTGCTTAGCTTCTTGATCTCTTAATACCTCAATTAAAATTAAGGTCTGGGTTGTGTAGGAGTTTATAGGTACTACGCAGCGGAAATAACATGAATCATATTCAATCAAGTACCAATCCCAAGAATCACATGCATAACACACAAGACACATAATCATACCTTTGACGCGTGGATTCCACGAAGCTATTCGACAGGTAAATCAGGAAGAGAATAGATCCCTAAGCGTTGCTCCTCTACTTAGTCCACGAGATTCGAACGAGCCGTCCACCAATACTAAATTGGTCGAGTGATTGAGGAAAACCGCGATCACCACCTTTATGGACAACCGACCACCGCACGAACCACCACCACCACGAGACACCACCGACGCCAATGAGGAGGAGAGAGCCGTGAGAGAGAGGACTATGAGAGGGGTTAGGTTTCGTGTTTGCTAATTAGGGTTTGATCACACTGATCAGTTAATTCCATCTATCCTTGCAAACCTAGGCACCTAGTCTATTTATAATCTCATTATAATTAGACTACGGCACTAAGCCCAAAACTCCTTCTAATCCTCTACATGGCCGGCCATCTAGAGTGATGAGGCCCATGATGGGCCTTGTCCTCTAATTCTCGATCTAGCCCCTTTGTGTGACCTTATAGGATCCGTCCAATTGGGCTTTGGGCTATTTTACTAGTCCAAAGATCGTTAGTACCTCTAGCTATGGCAAAACGACGACCCAAATGTACGAACTTAATTATCTCCATAATTTGATCCAATTATATATCTAGTAATTGCACATGACGAAGACATAACTCCTTCAATCTCCCACTTGTCTGAGACAAGGGTGCAATATTCAAATTCCTTAAGTAAATATATGTGTCGATTTGATGATATGATTGCATCACATGTCGAGATCATATTAATCTACAAATCGTTTCTTGAAATCTGAGTTAGAATTACAAAAACAAATGATTACTTTGTAATGCATTTGAAAGCGGCCACGTATTTTCTGAATTCTCCCTCTTCAAGCGACCATGACACATTTCCTAATTTAATAGGTAGACTCTATCCAATCTTGTGGTAACATGACTCCGATCCCACTCAACTTCTGAAATAACCGGGAAACACCCTTTATAATCTCCGGTTACGGCTAGACGTTTAAGTGTACCACAGTCACAACATCCATTGAATGAAATCAATGTTCCACTCATGTCAAAGGAATCCACTAATATAAACGGAAGCTCTATAATTGAACTTCAAAGTAGGTCAGTAGTTCAATCATGCATCATTCATGCATATCCAAGTGATTGACCGAGCATCACCATGCCCCTATAGCCCATGAAACTGCGCTATCCAATCAATCTTACAAGCTAGTTCATTTATTGAAATCATTTATGTCCACTTTAATGATCTCGAACTAGGAACTTTAAATAATATATGAATTTTGTTCACCTGTGGGGTTTCAATTCACCAGATCATCAACCTGATGAGCCCATCAATTCATAATTATTTTGGACATTTTATTTAATTTCCAAAACCATAATTAAATAAGAGAAATAATAATTTCTATTTTAAACATAATTCTGCAAATTGATGCATTTCTCATATAACATGTTTTCTCAAAACATATACAACTTAAATTACATAACTTGCTTCAATCCTAAGACTTTAATATGACTCTCATACCTTAGTCCATGGAAGGGGTTTAGTGATTTCTCACTCATAATAAAACTTTGCAGAACACGACCTTCCGTTGGTCAATGATCTCATAATTGAGGTGATATCTCATATCCTTTTGTTTGGATTTGCGACATGACTCTGGCTCCTTTGTTTTTGGGCAAAGGTGACCTGTTAGTCACATGACATTTTAATCCGAACTTCCTCTGTAACTATCTTACTATAGTTTAATACACATATTCTGACATTGAGTATGCAACAGTGCTCTGCTTTGAACTCTTCAAGCTCACTGTCCTTTTCCATCCAGACAAAAATATGAATTTAGACACCATCTAGAATCATCTTGACTGTTTAGAAAACTTGCATTCGTGTAACCTTTTGACAACTTGCTTAAATTACCATTTAAACATAATAGCTAGAAGAATTCCTTTTAGTGCTTCTCAAGTACTCAAGGATCTGTTCTTGGTAATTCTCCGTATGCTTATTCTGAATTTGCTTGAAACCTGATACACATGCACAAGTCATATGCAACATCTTGCTTTGTACATTTCATGGCACATATAATGAACCCTTTTGCAGAAGCATAAGGTACGCTATCCATAAAACTCAACTCTATTAGCTTTTGAAGGCACTGAGTTTTACTGATTGTAATACCATGAAATATGGGAAAACATCCTCTCTTAGAGTCTTGCTTCATGAACTTGTCAAGATCCTTATCAACATAAGTCTCTCGATTCATTCCAATCATTCTTCAAGATTCACTTCATGGATCTTAGTTCCCAATATGTACTCAACATCTCCTAAGTCTATCATATTGAAACAATCTTTCTAACCATTGTTGATTTATTCAAGCATTGATATATCATTTCATATGAACTGTATGTCAACTACATAATAGACTAAGAAATCCAATTGCTCCCACTAAAATTCTTATCTCTACAAGATTCCCTTTTCGTTCTACTAAGGAAATCAAACTGTTTGATTGCCTAATCAAAACTAATGTTCCAACTCCCTGATGCTTACTTCAATTCATAAATGAATTTCTGAAGTATGCAAAACTTTCTAGGAATTTCTGGATTTCAAAACTCTTAGGTCGTATCACATACATGTTCACCACCAAGAACATTTCATGCAGGTGATTTTGATATCCATAACTAGAATAATCCGAATAGGCTTACCCAATTCAACTAATAGGTTTGACCCTATTTGTAAGACTATTATGGACTAACACATTTTTATAAACATGGATTCCATACTGGATTTCATGGTTTTAAGCCATTTCCTGAGTTGGCACTTATCCAAAGCTTGCTTGTAGGCCATGGACTCTAATCGTTCTAATAAGAAAATTTTAGAATCTACCTTTTCTCATAATTTCAACAAATTGTTTGTTTTGATCCCAAGTATCCTACGATAGGTATGAGCGACAATAGAATTATTCTCTTCAACTCTTTGAATCCTTTCATTCTAGTGGGACGATAGAAGCCTCGCTAGTGGAATTAGCTTGCTTCGACACATGTTTTATCAAATTAGCTGATTTCATATGCCTTCGTTTCTTATGTAGTGTTATCCACATCCATTTGTTGCTCGTCTCGAATCTCATCGAGATCTAACTTTATCCCACTTGGCTTTGTAGGAAGACATTCTTTCTATAAAGACATTACCTACGCGATTGTAGGAATAATATCTCTTAGTTTCCATGAGAAAACCCATGAAGAACTATTTTTGTGATTTAAGGTGCATTATGTCATCTTTGTAAACATTTTCCATCGATTTCATAACCCTTAATCCTGTTTAGAAAAAATAACTTTTGGAACATTTCCAAATCATAACTTTTATGATATCTTTTCTACTACTTTGGTTAAGTTTCCTGTTTAGTATATTCACAATTGTTGTTGTAATGCATGTCCTCAAAATGATATTTGTAAATCATTAAATCTTGGATCGAACAATGGTAAGCAAAGTTTGATTCCTTCTTCATAAACATACACTTTAATTGTAATGTTTCTGGATTGTGGATTAATTCAACAATTCCCTTTAGATGATCATTCCTTTTTGAGTTAGATATTTATCACAACAATCATATTGTGGTGTTAAATTGTTTATCTCAAACTGATTTTACATTTCATTTTTGGAATTTTGAACATTTCAATGTTTCCAAGCTTTACTTCATTAAGTAATTATCAATATATTTACTTAAATCGTTAGAAAAAGCAATGAAGTAGTTAAATCTCTTTGCTAATTTTGAACTTATTGGTTCACATACATCATATGTATAAGTTCCAAAAGGTCATTTTTAGCTTCTTTTACCCTTTCTACTAAAAGGCAACTTGGTCATCCTAACTTATCAAGCATGACTTCTAATTCTCAAGTGATTCATAATCATATAAGAATAAGAGTCCATCCATAACTTTGGATGTGCAAATGGTTAATGTGACCTAACTTTACTTGTTATAAATAAGTGTACTTGAATCATCTAAATTTTACTTTTTTGATCTACTTATATCAATGTCATAAAACTTAATTAACTCATATCTAGCAAAATGAAAACAATTTATTACCTTGATCATGGATCAACACTTGTCCAAGCCAAGTAAACCAAATTCAGTATTCAAAATAAGAAAACCGAAATATTGTCTCATCAAAACTGGAAATTGTTCTAAAATCATGATAAACTAATCAAAATTTAAAACTATGAAGCTATTTATGGTTATTCAAAACTTCTAGTGCACCTTCAAGCTCCATTTCCATGCTAGCTTCACTTGTTTGCAGTTCCTGCGCAACATTCATAATGTTAAGCTCTGCAACTTGGTATCACATACCTAAGTGAAAGTTAAAATGTTTATAACAAGAGTGTTAGGTAACTCTTACCTGTCACTTAATCCTAGTGAGGACATTCTTGTTCAAGCACTGGCTTATTCTCCTTTCAGATAATCCTCAGCATGATTCTTGAGTAAATCAACTAATTTGACTGCAGAATCTTCATCATCTTGACAAAGTTTCTCTAGGTCAAAACCATCATGTAAGGAATGCAGAATTATATCATGAACCTGATGATCTTCATATGGTCTCCCTAACATACTCATGCGGTCAAATAGTTCAACCATCGTATCCACATGAATCTGTACTGACTGGCCTGGCAAGAGTTTTCTCAAAATTATCTTGCCATTAATCTTGTAGGTTTCAAACCTAATACTGCCAGTCCAGCAGTCGTCATTCTTGGGAACCATATTAATGATTTCCTTGACGTTTTCATCCATTTCTCCATCAACATGGGAATTTAGAATTCCATAGCAGACATCACGTAAGCACTTGAATAAGAGATAAGGTTCATAGTTCATAAATCTTTTAGCTTAGCCCAATCCTCTGGAGTAGAAGATAGCATCATATGCGCAATTCTCTCACAATCTGAAACAATTCTCAAATGCTTCTCAAGAGTCATGCCTGGACTAAATCTGCCCTCGATTGGTAAGTCTAAACGAAATTCAAGATTTTCGTTCCTTAGAACACTTCTAAGTTCGCTTTCCCAATCATTGAAGTTGAGAAAGTTAAGCCTTGTTATCATCGTTGGAGGTAAAGAATTGTCATCATTGTTACAGCTACCCATCTATGTCAAAATAAGGCAAATTTTAAAAATTATGTTTAATTTAAAATTAAAGTACCATAAACGCATTCATTTGGTAACTTTAAAATACTTTATTCAATAATTAATTGATCCCAATTGAATTTTAAGTGATTCCAAGATCCTTTATTTGTGCAATAATTGACCAGACTTTGGCCCTACCATCAACCATTACATTTTCAAGGTGAGTAAACTCTTTACTGATTACAACTCTTGTAACTCTTGGTTGAATAATTAATCATCACATGTTTAATTATTTCCCGTTGCTTCAAGGTTCTAAACTCTTTAGGTAACCTTGTTGAGCATAACCAATTAAAAGTGTAAAATTTGTTTGACCCCCACTCCCCTAAGATATAATATGACACCCAGCTTTGGCATGACCCATCATAAATATCAAAGGTTTAATCGGGTTTTTAATTGGAAAAGCAATCTCAATATTACTAGGACCTAGATTTATTATGTTGTGATTATTTAGTGAACTCTAGCGCATCATCAATCAACATAAATAAAATCTAACATGCATAATCTACTAATGCAATAAAGCATGACTTAGTATGGCCCCCTAGTCCTAAGAAAACTAGAAATGAAAATGCTCCCACTTGAATCATCATGGATCTCCATCCACCTTGCTCCTTTGGGCCTACACTTCATGGGCTTTTTTGGACTAACACTATTTGAATAACTATTCTATTTACTTTAAATAAAAGTTACAAAAATACTTAACGATACGCAGGCCGTATTTAGATTACAAAAATACTTCACGATGCGCAGATCGTATTTAAGAATCTATGGGCCATACTAGTCTATATTTAGCAACATAATATCATCTATAACCCTTCTAAAAGCCCCAAGCACCAAGACTGTAGCAATTTTACTGTTCCTTATGAACAGAAGATTGACGGTTTTGCCCTCCCTGCCCCTTAGCACCCTTCTCTGATTGACCAAGTTGACTGGGCTATTTCGGTCTTTTTGCTTTTACATTGCATGTGCTCTCAGCGGGCTGACGCGTGGCTATTTCTCTTTTTTGTCGGTGTTCTTGCAACTTACTCTCTCTCTTTCTTTCCTGCTTTCTTTCCTGATTAGCTATGTCTTCCTTCCTTTCCTTTGTTTTTATTGATTGGTGTTCGATTTCTTTTGTGGAGCTTGAAAAGCTAAACCAGATGCTTCAAGAGGTTGGATGCTTCAAGAGGTTTGTGAGCTACTTTTTACTCAAACTCTTAAAAATCGCTATTTGTTTTGGAATTGGTTTTTAATTTGTGCGTGTTTTGATTTCTGAATTTCGATGTTTTTAATGTTGGTTCTTACTGATTTCGATTGTGTTAGGGTCTCTATTTGAGCTTAATAATTTGATTTTTGAATTTTTATGTTCTTGATTGTTGGTTCTTACTGATTTCGATTATGTTAGGATCTCTGTTCATTTTTCATTTAAAGGATTATTTGTCTTACTTTTGGCTGAGCGATTTCAAATTTGACGGGGTCTTCGTCGATTATTTTTTATTTTTTATTGAAAATTTCAAGGATTTAAGTGAAGTTTTTTTTAGATGTAAACTTCAAAATTGCGTTGGTTGTTTTGTAAGCTTGCGGATTTATGTTACTATTTACATACAATTTTTTTATTTGCTTGTGGTAATTATGCTCTTTGTTGCATACAGTTGAAAGCGCTATCTTTGGTGAATTTACTTTTGGGGTTTTCTGCAGTTTTACGATTGATGTATTTCTAATGGCTCTTATTTAGCAACTTGCTAATAAGTTATCTCTTCATTCCCATGGTTTTTTTGTTCAGTTCATCTTTAAATTGAGAATTTTTCATTGTTCTCTTGGTTGTGAGGATAGATATTGTGAATTTAGGGTTTGTTCTTGGGAATTTGGGTGAATTTTTGAGAGAATTTTGTTGAGTGAAGAAGGATGGGGAGTATAGAAGGATTGGTGAAGCAACTTGGAGTGAGAAAGCCGATTTCTGTGGCAGGACCTTCTGCTGTTGATTTTCAGAAGACTCGGGAATTTGAGAAGGTTTGTTAATTTGATTCTTGAAATTTTAGTTTTAATTAGGGATTCTTGTTTATAGTAATTGATTGTTCTTGATAGCTCGTTTTGGATTTTCGGGTGATTCTGTTTTGTATGAAAGCGATGACGCACTTTTGATGGAAGCATGCTACTTTATGTGTTTGCTCATAAAGTATATAACAAAAGCCATGCTCGGAATACACATTATAAATTGTTGTATAATATACGCACTTTTGATGGCTTTGCGCCGTTTTTTTGCATTAATTAGTAATGTTTTCAGGTAATTCAATTAGACCTTGGGATTATTTGCATTATTGGGTTAGTTATGGCTCTTTATGTGTTTGTGCTTGGGCATTTAAAAAAAAAAAATTTAGACGAGCTTAATCCGAAAGGTAGCTCAATGAGCTAAAGAGACATGAACTTGTACTTGTTTTTCATATTAGCTTTGGTGTGATTAGTGCTGACCTCTAGAAGAACACTATATTCTCTGTAGAATGGGGTTTGGAACCTGTCTAAGCAACGAATTTAGCAACTATTTAACAAATGTAGGACTAAAGTTCAAACTTTGCAATCAGCTGATAAACCTTATATTGGTGATTGAGTTAGCCTTGATTTTTTATTGCTTTGTTTCCTTTTAGGTTTCTATCAAGCCTTTCTCAATTTTTTTTATTTTTGCTAAACCAGTTTCCAATACTAATAGTTGCAACCTAATCAAATGGTGCAGGAACTCGACTGGTTATGATCTAGCTAAAAGGTTCTGCCCCAAGTTTACACATCTATCTCTTGTATGGTACGATCTTAAGAGGTATGATGTGGTGAACACATTTTGCAATTTGCAAGCTAGCTCTTATACTCATTAGATGACAATTGTTGTGCTCTTATTTTCAAGTAATTCAATTAGACCTTGGGATTATTTGCATTATTGGGTTAGTTATGGCTCTTTATGTGTTTGTGCTTGGGCATTTTAAAAAAAAAAATTTAGACGAGCTTAATCCGAAAGGTAGCTCAATGAGCTAAAAAGACATGAACTTGTACTTGTTTTTCATATTAGCTTTGGTGTGATTAGTGCTGACCTCTGGGAGAACACTATATTCTCCGTAGAATGGGGTTTGGAACCTGTCTAAGCAACGAATTTAGCAACTATTTAACAAATGTAGGACTAAAGTTCAAACTTTGCAATCAGCTGATAAACCTTATATTGGTGATTGAGTTAGCCTTGATTTCTTATTGCTTTGTTTCCTTTTAGGTTTCTATCAAGCCTTTCTCAATTTTTTTTGTTTTTGCTAAACCAGTTTCCAATACTAATAGTTGCAACCTAATCAAATGGTGCAGGAACTCGGCTGGTTATGATCTAGCTAAAAGGTTCTGCCCCAAGTTTACACATCTATCTCTTGTATGGTACGATCTTAAGAGGTATGATGTGGTGAACACATTTTGCAATTTGCAAGCTAGCTCTTATACTCATTAGATGACAATTGTTGTGCTCTTATATTATTTCCTCTTCTAAATACTTTGATTTCCTTGGGTGCAACACAAATTATTTTATATGTTTTTATCTGCATTTCTTTCCTCTTTTGTGTGTGTAAGAGATGAATAGAAAGGAAAAGAGAGGATTTTTTTTTGTAGTCTTCTTGTTGACAATGATTTTGTAAGTGTTTGAACCCTTTTTTAAAAAAATTATTTTACATGTGGTCAGTCAAGGGGCAAAGTTAGTTCTCGAGGGAAGACACAATGCTGATATAGGATGGATGTCTGAGATGAGATTGAAAGGAAATGCTCAGGTAACAGGCCAGCTTATTGTACTTGGATGAAAATTTCATATTGCAGAGTCATGCATTCAAATTTCTTTCTGCATGTCACTTCATCTTTTCCGCCCAGCATACTTTTTTGTATCAGGATTAATAATTAAGTGCCTATAGCAACTATAATGAAATTGAAATATACATGTATTTATTCTCTCCCCACTTATTTATTCTTTCTGGATTGTCTAAGTTAGGATGATCTGTTTTCTTGAATGAACTTTGACTATTGATGTGTAAATTTTACCTAGAGTAGTCCTTGAAGCAGTGCCAAAGGACCTGCTCAGAAACAAGAAACAAAGGGATAAAGCTATTGACCTGCTTATAACAGAGTGCAAGTAAGCATATTATTTTGAATTTTGTTCTTTCTAAGATATAATTTTCAGCTTAGAATTTTGGTTTGGAAGAAAGTCAAAATAAGCGCAGAAATTTGGATGCTGATGGTAGTGTTAATGTTGTCCACTATAACAGTTTTTTGGTGCATCGTCATGTCTCATTATCCTTTTAATTCCAGCTTGCTTTCTCCCAATTTTTTAGCTGCTTTGCATTTAACCAGTGCGCAGGTCAGAAAACCCAATTTTGCATCTTAACTCAAAGGTTTTAAAAGGTATTGGGTGCTACATGATATTTTAAGACAGCAATAAGATAAGACTTTAGACCCTGAACAAAGAAAATATCCCTTAGCTCATAAATCACAGATGTTTTCATTGTCCAGTTGGTACTTCTTTATCTTCCATTATGTCTAAAAAAGCTGATCAGGTGTGAATAGAGGTCAGTAATCCGTATATAGCTTTATCATGTTAGTATTGACTCATTATCACAGCAATTAGGATTTGAATACTTGGGAATCCTTTATTTAATTCGTAGGAGAGAGAGATAGAGGTTTAAAAAAGAGGGAAAACTAATTAAGCTACTAATTGTGAGAAGAAAATAGAAATTAGTTTAATTGTTGGATTTTGGATTAGCAGAATTTTGTTTTGAAAATAGGAAGTGCGGCAGAATGTATTATATTTGATTCTATGCTTTGGTCATTGTTATTATCGGTAAAACAATTATTTGGGTGCTCAAATAATTTAGTTAATTATGGTATATCAGATATGGAGATGAATGAATCTTTTAAAGGTAGATTTCTTATCATTCTAATTTAGATGATTTTTCATATCTGCTGCATTAAATTTCTGTGTATTGTCATGGTTCTTATATTCATCATAGTCAGTGAGAAAGATCCATTCTTATTCGGTAAAGTGCTGCATCAAGATTTAAACTTCTCTTATGTATTTGCTTTGTGTGAATAGAGGTCAGTAATCCATATATAGCTTTAGCATGTTAGTATTGACTCATTATCACAGCAATTAGGATTTGAATAGTTGGGAATCCTTACTTAATTCGTAGGAGAAGAGAGAGAGAGAGAGAGAGAGAGAGAGAGAGAGAGAGAGAGAGAGAGAGAGAAAGAGAGAGAGGGAGAGGGAGGGGGGCTGGGTGAAAATGGGCTTGGGGGAAAGAGATGTATATAAATAAGAGTCGGAAGAGAAAATATATAGAGCAACAAAGAAAAAGTGTGACCAATATAGAGAAAAAAAAGAGATACAGTGATAAAGAGAAAGATAGGTCGGAGGAAAAAGAAATAAAGGGAGGTTTGAAAAAGAGGGAAATAGAGAAAAACCAAGAAATATAAAGGGGCAAGGGGGAGAGAGGTAAAGAGATAGGGAGGGGAGGGGATGGAGAGAAGGAGAGGGTCATAATTAATCTAAGGGAGAGGGAGAGGGAGGGGGATGATAATTCTAAGGTTGTATGGGTCATACTTAGTCTGAGAGATTTCGACGACAACAAAAGATTAGCAGCAGTTCTAAATTCTAAAGAAAGGAAGGATGTGCATTTTGCAAAGAATTCGAGTGAACAGAAGAAGTCCTTAGAAGGAATTAAGATCCTCCTTGCAGAAGATAGTTCTGGGAAAAGTAGAAGCTTGGTTGATGGGTGTCGGAGATGGATCACAGGCAGTAAACACTCTCAAATCCTCTTTAAATGACGAAGGATGTTGCACAACATCTCCCTAGGTTACCAAAAAGAGCAGCAAGTATAATTTCAACTCTAAGCCGGGACTTCCTTCCATTTGAATTAAATCGAATGGTCTGTAAGGTAATACACTTCATTGAATTATACCGATTATCCTATGTAATCAGAATAGTTGATAAGTTCCTGATTTCCTACAATATACAGTCTGCTTGAATATGTTTGAATCAACGAAAAAGATTCGGATATTTGAATCAGGAACAAGTGTTCACACTCCAATTATTTCTCTAACAGAACACGCAATGTCATAAGATAGACAAATTACAAATATATAGGGTTGTTGTCAAAGGTCTCGAGATCAAGTGCTTGTCTGCTTGAAAATATGTATAGGTGGATCCAAGTGTTCTATGTAAGAGTCAAAAGGCTAACTTTTGTTTGTGGTGATGATATAACCAGGCTTTGGGGTATAAAATAATTTTTTTAAATAAAAGGGAGAAAAAGGGGTAATACCTTATTAACTTTAGTGCTCTTATAATTATTAACTGGTTCACAAGTTCTAGAATATGGAGCTTTTTCGTATTTCAGTTGATAGTTTTTTTTTAGTTTTTTTTTTAATATTGTTAGTGTGTGTATATGCTTCTTTTCGAAACTTGCTTTCATTTTAGAATTTGGAAAAGCAATGTCTTACTTCTTTATGGAAATGAATAAGGACAATTAATTTTGGATATCCAGTTGTAGTTTAAGCTAACATCATATCTTAATTGTTCAGTGGTTGTTGAAATATGTCTTAAGCCATTTTTAGGGTGAATAATTCAAGTACCTAATTTATATTATGGCTACTTAAAGATTAATTGTGTCTTTGTAATATTTCAGGTTTTTCTACACAGCTGCATTCTTCTACCGACTTAATTGAGCAACTACGAGGTTTCAATGGCAGAAGGTTGGTTATTTATTTGGAGACTGATGGGCCCGGTCAGATTGTATTGAGTAGAAAAAATTTTGTAGATTACAATTTGAAAATTGAGGAAATTTTGTAAATAACATGTGCCATTAGTAATGTAAAAAACTTACATAAATTTTCAATTTTTCTTTAGTTTTTCAATTTTTCAATAAATTTTTATTTTTTCAAAAACATTATTATGTAAGTTATTAAAAATTAATCCTCTTTCTCATTCGTTGAACATTTAGATAAAATTCTTAATATTAAAAAATATATATTTTTTTAATTGAAGAAATTTTGAAGGAAAAAAATATATATATAGGCCATCAAGCAGTTTTAAGTTTCAACTAACTACTCATGTTATATAATTAACGAATAGCCTTAAAGATAATTATTTACTTAGCATCGTCATCAAAAACATTTTTTGAAGATATCTTACAGTATGAAATAGTACAGTTTTGTATAGAATATGAATTTCAAATCTATGTCAATCTAAAAGAGGATTCAAGGGGTTTCAAAAAAAAAAAAAAAAAGGACTCAAGGCAAGAGGGAGAAGGAGATGGATTTATTTGAAACAAGTGCTAAAAGGAGAGTTTGGGAGAAGAGTAAGGGCATGTTCACATTTACTAAATTGAACTGAACTGAGCTGAATTGAACTGAACTGATTGATTTATTTGAATTAAGTGCTAAAAGGAGAGATTGGAAAGAGATTGATTTACTTGAAATAAACTTATTGATTATCTCATAGTCAACATGAATTATATATAAGCACTTTTAACAAAGATGTTGTGCTAGATTGAGAGGGGGGAGGGGAGAGGGTCTAGGAGAAAAGAAAGAAGAAATTGATCCCTCTATCTCTCCCAGCTTCTCTCTATCTCCATCTTTCTTTCGGCCTCCCTCTCTTGCTTGTAACTTTCAAATTTTATTTTATATACTAATCTCAATAAGTATTTGTATTATATACAAGATACTAATCCTTAAATTAGGAGTCTAACCACACTTGTCTATGTTCATTTTAATTTGAGTGAGGGTTGGTATTAACACATTAAACTGATGCAATCAACTTCCCTTATACTAATCCTCCAATCGCCTTGATCACACCACCACTCAGTTTGTCAATCCTTCCATCGCTTTGATCACACCACCCACTTTGCCAATCCTCCACTCAAACCTCCAATTGCCTTGATCGCAACCCTCATTTTGCCAATCCTCCAATCACCTTGATCGCTCCACATAGTTTTCCCATCATCCTCCAATCACCTTGATTGCACTACCCAATTTGCCAATCCTCCAATCGCCCTATCGCACCACCCAGTTTGCTAATCCTCTAATCTCCTTTATCGCATCACCTAATTTGCCAATCCTCAAATCACAGCACCCAATTTACCAATCCTTTAATCACCCACTCACCGATGTAATTTGTACTTTTCAATGATTTTAGTCAACATACCCATATATAATTTGCCAATCCACATACCCAATTTGCCAATCCTCCAATCTATCATACCCAACAAAATTAAATTACATTAACACATAAACTACGACTAATTACACACTAATCACGGAGACGAAATCACGTTGGGGGACCGCGCGCGTAGCGCGTGGGCCAACAACTAGTATATTATAAAAGGGCCATATAATAAATCATTCAACATGTTTGTCTAAACTACAACATTGAATGTTCATAATAAAGTCAACACATTTCCTAAAATATCTTATATTTTAATCATAATTAGATAATATCATATATTATTCACGAACGTTTATAAAATATCATATATTATATTTAGTCATGAGATAGAATCAAATCATATTTTAATCTAGAAAGATAAATCATATTTAATCTTCCATGATTATCCTAACAAATTTAGGAGATTCTATCCTAATTACTAGCCAATCAAATAATTTTAAAATCAGTTATATCTTAATCTAATTATGGGATAATCACATTATTTAAATCAATTATTATCCTTTTGGAATATGCTCATAATACCCTAATCAATCTTATCCAAAATTAACCACTTTAATTAGGATAATTACCAATTTGACAACTTTAAATATGGATAATATCAAATATAACAACTTTTGAATATTTGATTTTATCCTAAAATAAAAGATTTTATCCAAATAAAACCGATTTTATCTTTTAAAATAAAAGATCATATTTTCAAAATATTTTAACTTATCCAAAATAAAACTGATTTTATCCCAAAATAATTCATAATTATCTTGAAATAATTTTCAAAATAAGATAATTTTTTTTTTTTTGAAAAAACGTGACTGCACGGTTGCTGGCCACCGTGGTTGGCTAGCCAGAGCTAGCCACTGCCGCAAGGCAGCAGCAACCAGCAGCAGAGGCAGCCACGGCAGCAGCGTGCAACGCTTGCACAACTGCTGCCTCAGCCACCATGACCGCCGCCTTCCCCTACCCCTTCTTCTTGGACCAGCACCTGGTCGGCAGCCGCCGTGGTTGCGCCACCCAGCCGCGGTTGCCGACCTTAAATAATTTTTTTTTGTGTTTTTTAATTTAATTAAAATAACATTTATTAAAATTAAATTAAATCAATCCAAAAATTTAAAATTAAATCAACATTCAATCTTAAAATTAGGGTTCTTCATAAAATTAATCCCAATTTAATTCTAACTTTTAAAATTAAATTGATGATCATACACAAAACACTTTTATGCATAAATCAATCCGATTAAAATTATGAATCATAAAATAAATCGAATTAAATCAAAATCAAGCACAAAAATCATATTTTAGGGCTATAAATTTCGAAAATTTCAAAAAATAGGGTTAGGGGGTTCGAAAATTTCGAACAATTTAGGGCTAAAATTCGGTCTCTTCATGGCTATTTTGAGCATAATTAAATCACATTTACTCGATTCCAAAAGTTTAATCACATTAAATATAATAATTGAACCATAATTAAATTAATTTCTCCCTCTTAATTGATTATAAAATTAACATGGGCATAAAAAAAAACGTATTATTATGATCTAGCGCGTTCATGCAAGAGGCTAATTGATACCACTGTAGGAGTTTATAGGTACTACGCAGCGGAAATAACATTAATCATATTCAATCAAGTACCAATCCCAAGAATCACATGCATAACACACAAGACACATAATCATACCTTTGACGCGTGAATTCCACGAAGCTATTCGACAGGCAAATCAGGGAGAGAATAGAGCCCCAAGCGTTGCTCCTCTACTTAGTCCACGAGATTCGAACGAGCCGTCCACCAATACTAGATTGGTCTAGTGATTGAGGAAAACCGCGATCACCACCTTTATGGACAACCGACCACCGCACGAACCACCACCACCACGAGACACCACTGGTGTCAATGAGGAGGAGAGAGCCGTGAGAGAGAGGACTATGAGAGGGGTTGAGTTTCGTGTTTGCTAATTAGGGTTTGATCACACTGATCAGTTAATTCCATTTATCCTTGCAAACCTAGGCACCTAGTCTATTTATAATCTCATTATAATTAGACTAGGGCACGAAGCCCAAAACTCCTTCTAATCCTCTACATGGCCGGCCACCTAGAGTGATGAGGCCCATGATGGGCCTCGTCCTCTAATGCTCGATTTAGCCCCTTTGTGTGACCTTATAGATCCGTCTAATTGGGCTTTGGGCTATTTTATTAGTTCAAAGATTGTTAGTACCTCTAGCTATGGAAAAACGACGACCTAAATGTACGAACTTAATTATCTCCATAATTTGATCCAATTATATATCTAGTAATTGCACACGACGAAGACATAACTCCTTCAGTTTGGGCTCTTTGGTCGGTGGTGGTGGAGTTATGGTGGTGGTGGACTCACGTGAAACAGACTAACACAAAACCTTCTATTTAAAATTTCCACCACTTTTACACATGACGTCATCATGGGACCTACATTTGCGTTTTCTCTCTCTTTCCCTCTCTCTTCCCTCGATTTCCCCTTCTTTCTATTTCATCTCTTAAATTTGATTTCAATTACACAAATTTCGCAAATTAGGTTATAATTTCTACAAATGTAACCTTCAATGAATTGAATTGATTATTGTAATTAGGGTTTGGGTAATCAATTTGGGGGTTTTGCTAAAATCGAAAAAATAGGGTTTGTGAAATGAAAATTAGAGTTTATATCAGGTATGAATTGCATGATTTGTAGCTTATATTGTTCCAGCAGCAGCAAAATAACCCCAATTGCATGATTTAATTGTGTTTTTGTCCCAATTACTTGTTTAATTGTCCAATTTTCATTTCATAAACCTGAATTTTTCAATTTTAGCAAAACCCCCAAATTGATTACCCAAACCCTAATTACACTATTCAATTCAATTCGAAATAGGTAAGATTGCAGAAATGTAAACCTGATTTGAGTAATTGAAATCGAATTTCAAAGAAGAATTCGAAAAAGGGGAGGAAGGCAAGAAAACAGGAGAATTTGAGGGAGGAGAGAGGGAAAACGCGAAACTGGGCCCCATGATGACGTCATTCGTCAAACTGGTGGGAGTTTAAAAACTTTTGGTAAAAACTAGGTGGTAATATTATAATAAAAATATAAAAAAAATAATAAATAAATAAAAAAAAACCTTGAGGTGGTAATTTCAATTTTGCCTACTATACATGGTGGTAATTATCAAATTTTCCTATTTTAAATAAAAATATCGGTTCGGTCCAAGACTGGTTTTTATAGGGTTTTGAATCGGATTGGACCAAAGACTGGGAAAATAAATTTCTAGACCCAAAGACCATTCGGTCCGGTCCGGTCCGAATCGATTTGTGAACACCCCTAATGACCATGTTTGTTTATAGAGTAAGACATTGTTCTCTTCACCTAATTTACAATACATATTACGCAGTACATGATATCGAATAAAAATTGCAGCTCAATATAAATAAGTTAAATTCAACAAAATAAGTTTTAATTAGGTTAAATACTTAAGTTTAATATAATTTTTTCAATCCAGTAAAAATAATTTCATTTCAACAAAAATATAAGGTGAGGAGAACATGGTTTCTTGTTCATACATATCAATAACCTCATTTATTAAAAAATTAAACTTTATTTTGTGCATAAAAAATTCCTAATTCATTATACAAATAATATCGATCAATTTATAAAAAATTGATCTCATTTGTCTATTTAAG